ATTTCATTTAATCAGCGGCAGGAACAGCGAACCGCAGCCGCAGCGGAAAACTTTTCATGTTTGGGAACACTTGCCACTGCACTTTGCTCTGCGGTTGACACTCTGTCCCCGGATCCGGGGATCCGAATCCGGATCCGAATCACATGACCCCATCAGTGTCCCATGTCCTGTGCCCACTTGTAGCCACTTAACAAATTTTGCGCTGCGTCGTTTTCAAAGCTCTTCCCAAAGGGGGGCACAACAAAAAAAAAAAAAACGGACGGGAAGGGAAGGGAAAACAAATTTTAACGCCTCCCTTGATTGACTGCCAACTCGGAACTGTCCTCTGGAAATCCTCCACTGGCCAACTGGACAACTGAACTACTGGTCAACTGGCCACCATCGAGAGCAGCAGAGAGCGTGTCCCTGACACGAGGTGAGTGCTTAGGCTGGAGGACATTAGTTCTGGTCCTGGTCACCAGTTTCTGGTTTCTGGCCTGAGTCCGAGTATCATGGGCAGTGGTGCTCCACCAGACAAGTATCTGGTTGTCATTGGGGCTGTGACTTGACGATGACGATGATGCTGATGGAGTTTGCTCTCAACGATGACAGTCGGAAAAGTGCACCAAATCATACTCGAAGTCAGGCAGATTTTCATTTACCTACATCTTTAAATAACAGTACACTGATAGGTTTGATTTTTTTATAGCCACTATTTGTAGGTACCATTTCTTCCAAAAAAATTACTCGCAAATCATTTTCGTTTCCTTTATATAATACTCATTTATTATATTTTAGGTAAAAATAAATCAATTTTAAATAAAAATTTATAGAATTCTTAAGCTTAAACTCAACCTTACTGATATATATTTAGGCAATTATAGAAATTTCTGTTCGATATTTATATGCAGACAAGTAGATTTTAGGGGATTCAAATTCTCTAGAATAAGCGTTTTAATTAAGGACTCTATTTTCCACCATTTATGCAATCCAAAATAGGAAGTCAACAATCATATTTGTGTAATTCTTTCGCTTCATTGGCATTCGTTTCGGTTACTGCTTTCCAACCTTGCGTACTCGCAAAAAACCTGGTAAATAATTGGCTTTTAGCATTTTAAGCGTTTATCCAGCCATAAAGAACCTGCTGCTCCCGAACACTCAACCCACTCGATTCCCATTTGGTCTGTTGTCCATTAAAAGGCAATTTATGCGAAATACTGAAAGTATGTTAAGTTTTTTATAGGCGGAAACAGATATCGACGGACTTTTACCGAATATGGCTAATTGTTGTTGTAATACCCTAGCTAAAATTTTTTTTATAATATTCTAAATTTAAATGAAATGGTAAAAGCTAAAAAAAAATGTGATCGTCTCCCTATTTAATTTTTATCATAATGAAGTGATTTTAAACTGCGCATACAGCATAATGTTTAACGCCCTTCATTTTTTGTTGCTGTAGTTGATTTTTGATTAATCTACAGACAGAAAATATTTTTAAATATTTGCCAAATGCAAATGGCAACTGTCAGTGAGAAAAATGATTTCGTTGTTTACTGATGATTGGCTTTTTTATATTTGCCAAATTTTGGTTTGATTATAGCAACCTCTCCCTCGCACACAACTCCTCTATCCCTCTCGCACCGTATCGAAATACGGTCTGAACTTAAACGTAATTAAAATAGTTCGACTATACGAATCAATAAACAAATTGATTATGCAAATTTACTGTTTATTTGCATTCGACTTGCCATTGTAAGTGTCTGTGTTTTCGATTGCCTGTGTGTGTGTTATCTGTGTGCATGTGTTAGACATTAATAGGTTTTGTTGCTGCCCTTCGGACCGGCTTTATTTTAGCCAAAATGTATATACATTTAATGCTCAATCGGAGCGGAAATAAAAAGTTTGCAAAAAAAGTACGTATTGTTTGTTTGTTGTTTGGCAAAAATCAACTGGAAAAGCGGAAACGGAAAGCGCATGTTTTCCATTACGGTTGCTAATAGGGAGGAGGTTTTCAGGGGCATTGAACATTTTTGTAATTGACTTATTTTACTGTAATTTATAAAGCGTGCCTGCAACTCCTATAATAAAGTATTTTTACCTTCATTTAACTCTGTCATTCTTCCCGTCCCTGTGTGATTGTACAAATGCATTTTTAATTAAACTCGAAAAAACAAACAAAATGCACATAACAATACGACAAAGTAAACAAATTAAAATCAAATTAGTGTTGAACTACGTTTTTTTTCGCACACAGCTTAAAATAGCTCGGTGGGAAAAGGGATTATAATATGTCGACGGGTGAGGATGTGAAACCATATGCATTCCAAATTATTTCAAATAGTTTTGGATTAATAAAATTATAAATATATTAAAAATTGTATATATATTTATATATATATATTGTGCTAAACACTAATTAACAGTTTAAACAACTCAACTATTTTTAAGTATTCCCAAAAAAATTAAAAAGATGTTAAATGCAGAAAGATAATAGTTAGCCAGTTGAATTAAGATAGTTGTTTCACAACTCGAAGTTTACTTGCTTGAGCTCGAGGTCATGGTTCTTGACCAGTGGTCATAAACACAGAACATAAGTCCTTATAATTTCCCATATCTTATTTGTTTTCATTATATTAAGTTCAACTGGTATAAGGTCTGAATAACAAATATATACATATCAAGCCCTTACAAAACCTTTTACATTTCAAATTATTACGAGAAGACAACCCTGCGTTGAACTAAATATGAATCTCATAAAATATTTCCAAGAACCGATTTCCGTTTCCCTTGCAAAACCAACAATTTCTTGTCACAATTTGGGCTTCCTTCCCCTTTCGGTGAAATTGGCTCCAGCCACAGCTGCACCACAGCATAAATACTTATCGCATCAGGTTACCATCATTATATTTGGCCACTCCCCCGACCTTCCAGAACCTCCACTCCGCTCCTCGAGTGACTTCGAAATTCGCTTAAATTGCCTGGGGAAAGTCATGAAGACAGACGCTCAGACAGGCGGTGAAAGGAGGGCGGAGAAAGGTGTGGCAGGTGGAAAATCAGGGGGGTGGAGTGCCTAACGCCCCCTGACAGTTGCACAATGGCAAATTGTTGCATCCGCTTTTCTTTTAGCTTTTTAAATGCAATTTCAGCACACACACGCACACACACACACACACACAGGGGGAAGTGTGTGCCATGCCCATTTACATGTTACCATTGCTGCCATTGCTGCTCCTTGGATCTCATCCTGTTTCCGGTCGATGTTGCTGCTGTTGCACGGTGATGTTGCTGCTTGCCAGCTTCCGGCAACATTGCCTTATCAGGACTCAGGACCCGGCTCCGCCTATGCAGCAACAGCTTACGTTGTTTGCCTTCACTTTGTTTTGTTGCTGCTCGCCATCTTCTCTGGGCTTCCCGCTCCTGCCCCGCCGCAAATTGCCTTTAATTCATTTTCCGCAATTACTCCAGGCCATGTGGAAAAGGGGTAAAACTACTCATTATCAGGTGCCCAGCCTGCAAATCCCACCCTGCTCTTTTGTCATAGGCGCACTTTTCACATTCCATTTGCATGCCTCGAAGGACAACTCCGTGTTTCCATCTGCATAATGATGAGGCGAGTGCCGTCACTCCCGCTGTGTCTCGCCTTGAGCGCATTAAGTGACCAGCAATCGACTGGGGGCGGTGGGTTGTCTGGGCGGATGTCTGATGTCCTCCCCTCTCCCCCTCCCCCGTTAAGGTCAACGCTGATCAATGTCAATTGCCGCAGCCGTCGCTTGCAATTGACCAGCAACCGAAACTGAAGTGTAGCCATAGCTACAGCAAAACATTAGAGATGCACCTTTGCAACTTTGTATTCTAAGGCCTCAGCAAAAACCGTATAATTAAGTATTATGTGTAACTCACATAAAACATATCTATTTCCAAAAGTCGTCTCGTTCAAAAATGTTTAAAATAAAAATATTTACAATTTTGGATTAAATCAATGTCTTCATTGTAATCGATGGGCCTAAAAAAAATGTGATTTTAAAAGTGTGGGCTTATTAATTTAATTCTGTCATTTACAAAAAAATGACACTGCCCAAAAAATTATAGGTTAATTTAATAAAAGACTGATTTGTATCAGTTTGTTATTGAAAATGACCATTAAGTTGTAAAGCTTGATATAATAATGATTCACATATATTAAAAAATAGACAGGAAAAGTCTATATTAATAGATCAGGGCTGGTTAAAGACACGCGTCAACATATACAAAAAAATTATAATTTAATTTAAGAAAACCCTTTTTTTGTGTGTTGACTGAGTTTCTTCTCAAAAATAACCATTACGTATATGCAGTTTCAGCTTTATATGATAATCAATAAATGACACCAGATATTGAAATGGTCACTGACAGGCTACTGCCAAAGGCGATTCCTTAGACAGGGCATCGCTGGCTGCTTACGCTGAACCCCACTGGTGGCCAAGCGAGGTGGACACGCATCCTTAGCATCCTTGGGCTCCTGTGGGCTGCTTACTCGCTCCGTTCAGTCTGCACCGCATGGCATTGTATCTGCATTTGCATCTGCATCTGCTGGGCATCACATCGCTCTTGGCCAGCAATGAGATGCGTCGTGTAGCGGGAATTGGAAAACTGTTAAGCGTCTGAAGGTTGCCTTGTTGATATTCCCGGTCCGAAAAGTGAGTGACACAGGGGAGAGGCGGGGCAGGGAGCAGGGGGCACTAAGGGGCGGTAATCGCCAACTTTACCGCCTGCTTTCGCTGTGCATTTGGTCGCCATTTTCAATTTACTGACGCTGTCATTGCCGGCAGACAAATGTTAGTGTGGGTATATGCATGCGTGTGCTTTGTATCTGAGTATGCCGTACACTCAGAAAACAAAATTCCTTGATTTTAGGAAAAATTACCTTACTTTAAAGAACAATTGCCATAAATTTGAGTCTTCAATTTGAGACCTAAAACGCTTCTTATTGCCTTGTTTTCTGGGTGCACACAGGAAACATATTATATGTGATAACAAGAACATTCCATTGAAAAACTTTTTTATTTTAATATTTAAATATTTCTGTGGAACTTTGACAATTGTCATTAATTGAATTATATTATCTTAGATGTTATCAACTTGACAAATAAAATAATATTCAGTGGGACAGGAAAAATCAAACATTTCTCCGTTGTAAAGAGTGACGCAATCCTGATTTTCAAGATTGTTGGGTTGATTAACCGCCCACTTCAAAAATGTGTGTGGCTCTCCAGAGGCCAGAGATACGAATTTGCCCTCTGACTCACGATCGTTAATGCCAATCCAGTAATGCGTATCTCTCCGGAGTTTCGCTTGGATTAAATTAAGTTCTTCTTCATCTCGAATTGAAGCTAGTATCCCACCGAAACTGTTGCATGTGCTTCTTGCTAAGTCCCAACCGACTAAAATATTATGTTCAATATAGTAGTATCCCTTGCCAATTCGCTCGAACCCCGGCGGGATAATTGTTACAAGGGAAGCTGGTTTCGTAGAGAAGTCTGGGTTTTGGAATCGAATTTTTTCCTGAAGTACCTGCAGACTGGTCTGCACTGCCATTACTGCCCCTTCAAGCTTGTTTTGTGCGGCTGCCTGATCTTCCATTTTGGCCTGAAGTCTCTGCATGGCTGTCTGCAGAACGTCTATTTGGCTCTGTAGTCTCGGGCCGTAGTCTTCTTCCTGTTGCGATTCCATTCGCTTTTTCAGCTCCATCTGTAATAGTTGGGCATCCAGTTGTATCTGCCTGTCTGTCTGCAAGTTTTCCAACCAGTCGAGAATGTTCCTCTGCTCGTCTTCAATCCTCTCCAGTTTCGAGAGGCATTGTTGCTCGCACTGAGAGTCGCTGTGCAAATACACAGACTGAGTATTATCTTGGCAGCCTACCCGATGGATAGTCAGAACCACAAATGCGCTTAATAAGTAGATTTTCAGCATCAACATTTTTAATAGTACCACTCTAAACAATCTTTCCAAACGTACTGAAATTTGAATTTAACATTTCTGAACATGTAGACAAACCTGCAATGCTACTGATAAGAGGTCTTTCCCCTAAAAGGTCGAAAAAAATATACAAACAGATTATAATTCAATATTGAGTATTCGTTACTCTCTTATCAATGTTGTATGATTTTAAGCTCAAAACATTACTTTGCCCGAAAATAAATATATTAATTATTTCTTTAAGCTTGGAATATGCTGCAATTAGCAAAAATTGTTCTTGATGACTTTAGCAGGACAAATTCGGAATTATTTATATAAAATATCATTCATAATATCATCTTGGGTATTCTTTCTCTTATGTTTTACACTAAAAGGAAATATACCTTCGCTTAATTTTTTTTATCTATTTAACAAATGTATTTAATTGATTTTATTTCCTTATGGGCTTTTCTGCTCACCTTCTTAAAGGCAGGGTCATGACTTTACAAATATAAGAGATACTTTAACTGATAAGAATATACTGTTGTTATGGAATAATTTCCGGTTCTCTCGGTGTATCTGGGCTCATATGTGCCCGGTATCGGTGTGCGTGGGTGAACTGGCATGTTGTGATTGCGGACTGTTGCTTCACTTGAGTGGCGGCAAGTCGCCGCCCCAGCTAGCCAACTTTTTCGCCAGCTTTTACCGATTTTCCTCCCCTCACACAGCCCGCGCAAAAGTGTGCAACAGGGTGCTTCTATTTTTCTTGCCTGGCATTTTTCCGTTGTCCTTCTCTCGGCCACGTTCCACTGGTGCTGGTGGCTTTCTTCTTCTGGGCCGACTGTTGTAATTGTTGCTAAAGCAGCAAAACGTCGACGCTGAAATTGCAGCAACTGTAATAACAAAATGGCCCCCGGAGTTGGTCCTGTGCCCCGCTTTTCACGGAGGAAAATGGTAAAATGAAGGCTGAGGCATGGGAAATATTTCCAGCTTGACTTATTTTGACTTTGTTTCGTTTCCCTTTTCGACCCGCTTTTCCTTCGCTTCTGCCGCAACTGCTAGCAAAGTTTATTCAACGCAAAATGTGCAATGTGAAAACGTGCCGCATGTGGAGGATCTGGGTGGTGGGCGGTGGGCGTTTGACGGCCAGGGGGCGTGGCAGCACCATTTACTGGCATTGCATACTGATTTCCTGTTGCATTTCCGGTCAGCCGACGACGAAGTTGCCCCTCCAAATGGCCTCCCCCAACTTTGCCAGCACATAAAACTAAATCGAATTTAGAACACTTCCAAAGGAAATTGGAAATTAACTAAAAGTGAGTTATTTGCATGGGAAATAGTTGCCAGTTTGCGGGGGAAAATATATTCACAGCCCAGAACATTTATAATTTGTAGCTTGCGTCTTTGTTAAGGTAAATTTAAATTAATTTATATCGTCACCGTCATAAGAAAAAAGCTTGTTGCTTCTGGGGTTTACATTTTATAGTTGCAGCTTGTACTTAAAACAAATTCGCTTTCAAATGAAACATTGCAAGCAGCATTTTATTGAAAATGATAGAGCGTTCGTGTTAATAGAGTTTAATTTTATGTTTCTAAGAAGCTACCTTTTCTTGTTTCCTTTTTTTTAAGTAGGTCACTGTTGTTTGCTTCGGATATGTGGACACTTTTGCTTTATTTTTGGCTGCTAAAATGAATCATTTTGAGGCCAGGCTGCACCGGCTAAATAGAATGTTTTATGGATTTCGGTGGTTATACTCATTGTGCTTTCTTGGGATTCAGCTCCGTACCGCCTAGCGGCTGCTAGGCTCCATTGTCTACTTTTCGTGAACAATGGCAGGTGTCATGCAGGTGGAAAAGCTGCGGTTCAAGGCAGTCGGCTGGGGGGCGCTTAACGGGTTGTCCCTTTGTGCATTTTACGCGGAATTACACAGCATAAGCAGCTGGCACCGCTCCACGCCCCCTCCCCTCCAAGTGACCCGACCGCAGACTGGAGTCTACTAACACCCACTCCTTTCACCCACCTACACATGCTGCACCTGCTGCTCCTGTTGCAGCAAATGCGGCAAATGCCGCCAGCGACTTTCGTCTGTTTTGTTGTAGAAGTTTTCCCCCCCAACTCCCCACCAGCGGCATTGTGGCCCAAAGGCAAACACAAGCCCAGGCCCAAGCAATTGCCTCGCTGCTCCTGCCCCTGCCCCTGCTCCTTTTGATCCTTTTGGACCCACCACAGTTGATTTAAACTGCACAAAAAAGTAAACAACGCATACGGGGACAACCAAAATGGGCGGTGAGTGGTGTATGGTGGGTGGTGGCTGCTATGAGCAACTAAGAAAATGCCTGCACAAAAGTAACTCATAATTAAGGTAAGGCAGCCAAGTGGAGATGAGGATAAAGGCGGAGAAACCAAGACGAGTGCAGCAGACGGCCTTTCTTCTGCCGCATGTGGCAAATGCCACAAGCGTTGCCTACTTTCGGGCTACATCCAGTTCGCAAATGGAACTAGATCACTCAAATAGTCAACTATCTACAGCTTTAAAGGTTATTTCAATTTAACTAACAGCTTTCTTCTGTTTAAAAAATCTTTGCGTTTCTTGATTGAGCTGCTAAACTGCAAAGCACTTTTACAAAATATTAACAATATTCAGTTAATACACAATTATTAAATATTGTTCTTTTAAACGTAATTCATAACAAACTCATAACATAAGCTAAATACTTACAACATCTCCATTTAAGTATTTGTATTCATTTGTAGTGCCACTTGAAATTAAACTTTCATAAGTCCCAATATTAAAAGCTATTTAATTATAATTTAAAAGTGTTTATTATACACTACCATGATACCAACATTAATTGTTTTTTTCTCACTGTAAAGGGTTTCTATATAGTACCTTAATAATTAACAGGATGGTTGGTCAATCATTAAAGAATCGTTATGCCAGAACTAGTTCCTGACTTTTCCATCCATTTTCCATCATCTCCCTCAGACCGCCAGTTGCCTTGACTCACCCAACTGCTTTTGGCCCTGGCTTAAGTCGTCGCCGTAGTCGCAGCTTTAGCCGTATATATACTTTTGATATGCTTCAGCAAACACCTGCAACGTCTCAACAACAATGAGAAATATTGTTAAGTAACTGGGGAAGGGGAACTGGGGGGCAGAAGGAGGGGGCGAGGCTAAGAGTAGTGGATGCAGTTTTTGGTGCATTAGCGGAGTGCGTTACCCCTGCTCTTGTGCATCGTACTCGTCCTTTCAGCTCTGTTTATTGTTTATGTTTTTGGCTGGGGCTCTTCGCTCGGATTGTTTGCTGGGAATGGGATGGGGTTGTTGTTAATGCATGACTGGGGCGTATGCATCCTGTTGCCAGGCCATGCAATCTGCATGCTCCGCTCTCTCTCACTCTCTGTGTCTGCAAAGATCGTAGGCAACTTTTGCCAAATCATGGCAATTTCTTTCTTTTATTGCTCCCATATCCTTGGACGCTTCGCTGATGTATGTGCAAATTATGCGCACTGAAATGAATATTAATAATGCGCCGCTCTGTAATCCATGGCGTATGAGTAACTTTTCCATTAAGCGCGAATCGTTTGTCAATTTGCCAGCACAGATAAATCACCAGGTCCTGGCAAGGGGCCCTCCGGCGGATCCTTGCCTTGAGCCCAATTAACCCATTAGGACAGCGGTTGCCATTTGATGCGGCAGTCAGAATGCAATTAAGAAAGGCAAGACCAATGAGCAGCATCAAACCAGAGGAGGGGCCTCCTCCCCTCCCCACTCTACTTACATTTAATTTTTATGTAAGCACAGCCCAAGGACGAGAGAAGAACCAGGACCAAGACCAAGAAAAGTAATAACTGCGCATTGCCATTATTTATGTTTATGTCCGCACTACATCATCTTCAAATGTCCGCTGGCCTCCCAAGCCACCCTCCTTGCAGCTATAAAAAACAAGTGTCTGCAGTTTAGAGGAGGGTATGGACAATAGTAGTTCCCATGGTGATGTGAATACTAGAAAAAAGTCGATTTGATATTACACTGTCCATTGATACCAGACATTTCAAAGGTGATCACAAAAATGATTATAGTCGATCATGATAATAACTAATTAAAATAATAGAAATAGTATAGAAACTCGTTCATTTAAAATTTAAATAATTGAGTAGGTATATCTATTAAAAAAATAATTTGGCAGAATTTTCCATGTTCATGTATGAATTTATTGCCAATCTAAATGGAGTTTGGGTTTTTCTTTGAAGCATTTTACACGAGCGTGTACTGGAAATAAAAATAAATGAAATGGGATTTATCAATCTACTGATAAAATAATAAACTATATCAATATTCGATTGCATTTGGGTCACCAACAAATTACACTTTTTGTTTGGTTTAGTTCATTTTATTTTTTTTGTTCTATCCCTAAAATATGTATTTTAAATTCACTTTGTAAACATATATAGTTGGACGGACAATATAGGCTTATGCCGATAAGAAATAGCTTTTAAAAACCATCAAATAATATATCAACTTTTTAAACATCTTATATCGTATGCCATCCCTAAGGGATCCCAGTCTGGTTCTACTTGCACTCCAGTCTTGGGCGACGTTTAACTGCCGCAGTTGTGAGTGCCGTTGAACTAATTTCCGTTGCCTTGCGGCAAGGTGGTGGGAGGTGGGTGGTTGGTCGGTTGCGGGTGCAGCATTCATTGGGTGGTGCAGGGGGTGGCACTGAAGTGGTTTCCAGGAAGGAAGTTGGTTTGCTCCATTCTGGTCGGGCTTGTAAAAATTGCATTCTTCGCGGCCTTTTCTATAGCCCGCGCATTTGTCATTGAGGCGCTCGCTAATTTGACATAAATTTTAAATGCTAGGATGTGCAGCTGGGGCAAAGATGAAATGAGATGAAACATCCGGAAAGATTGTGGCAACTGGAGCAAGATAAGAGACGTTAACTTACAGCTCTTTACAAATTTGGGTTTAAAGAAACTCTTTATTAAAATTGTATAAATGTATAATATAATGTATGAGTTGAAGCCTTTAAAATAAACATTC